AATAAATTAATATAAATCATTAGTAATATTTTGAATATTTGTGAATTTAGTGAGGTATATGACTTCCCAACTATTATATATATGGATCTCTGGTTAAAAAAATAAAAAACATGTCATAGAACACATCCATGCATCGTATGTCGGATGAGTCTGCTTCTCGGGTCTCATGAAAGCCTGAAATGTCCTGCGGGAAACACGCCCGGCCTCTCCTACCCCTGCGCCGAGATACGGTGAGGAAGGCATGGGTAGGTGCTACCACCAGTGCGTGGAGGCACAGCCCAGACTAATGATGCCTGAAATATGGGGACTGTTGTGCAGAGGACTGGCTGAAAGTGAAAGGTGGGCAGATAGCATGGCTGAAGTCACAACACCGGGCATCCAGTGGGCAGACCTTAAAGATGCAGAGCTCCAGAAAAGATTGGCTTCCTGCCACGTGTCCCACTGTGTCTGAAGTTAGGGTCAATGTCTCTTTATTGACCTAATCCACGTATCTAACAAAGAGAGCCACAAAGCAACAGCCGATCAGTGCCACTGTGGAGGCTGTGATCACCACAACGACGACGCTCCCAGCCATGTTGACCAGCAAGCCCAGGCCACCTCCGACCAGGATCTGAGCCAGCTGCACCATGCAGGTGAGGGCGGCACAGTCCACGCCCTTCCCTCTCCCGCTGCTGTCTGGGCCCCCTCCGGGAACCTGCTGCCTCTGCAAGGGAAGCACAGGAACAGTATTTGATCTACAGGGAATTTTCATTTAGGGAACAGATCTGCAGACTATTTCTGTAAAGAGCCAGGTAGTAAATACCTTTGGCTTTGTGGGTCACCCGGTCTTGGTTGTAACTATCCAACTCTGCTATTGTGCAAAAGCAGCTACAATCTGTAAATGAACTGATATTTCAATATAACTTTATAGACATTGGTATTTGATTTCATGTTATTTTCACTTGCTACAAAATATTATCCTTCTTTTGAATTTTTCTCAATCATTTAAAAATGTAAAAGGAATTCTTAGCTCATGGACTGTACAAAAACAGGTGGCAGGCCACATGTGGTCAGTGGGCCATAGTCTGCCAACCCCTGACTTAGGGTCAGGGGGAAGCTCCACCCTCCTACCTGAAGCTGTTTTCTCTACCTGTGACAAAGTCTTAAATTCCACCATTAACACATATGAGGGTTAAATGGTTAATAAATGCAATATTATCTCTTCCTAAGAAGCCAATAAATACATGTAGTGGAAACTCAATAAATATTCCATTCTTTTTCTTCCTTAGTGTTCAAAATTCAAATATTTTCAGAAGGATATTTAATCACTGGTATTTAAGGGAAGCAACATCAAAAAGCATTTCAACCTTTCAAAATATGGTTGGTATTTGGTTAATATATTAATGTTTGGTTAATATTTGATATTTGGTCTGAACTGGTTGATACTTTGCCATTTATTGGTAGCTCTTAGGTGCTAGGCCTGTACAAGATTGTTTTGTTACTTTAATTGTTCTCACCACCTCCCTTGATGTACGTATTATTATCATGATCCCCATGGCAACAATAATAATACTAGCTGCCATATTTTGAGTCTGTTAGGTGCTAAGTAGTCACTATGCGAAGCACATTACACACACTATCTTGTTTCATTTTCTGACAACCCTAAAAAGTGGATATTATTATTTCCATTTGCCTCATAAGGAAACTGAGGCTCTGAGAGTTTGATGTTTTCCTAAACTATTAAGTTATTTAAAAAAAAAACAGCTTTGTGCAGAAACATGCATTTATCCTTTGAGTAAGAAGGGGGAAAAAGGAAAATCATACTTGTTTGATTATCATTAAATAATCCTGGCAAGGTAAACAAAAAGCTAACGAGTGGGAGTATGTCGGGGCTGAAGGGACAGGAGAGTGTGGAGGGGACCCCGTCACAGTGTGCACTTCGGCCTATCACTGGGGTTGTTGAACCATGTGAACATATTACTTCATCTAAAAATAACTCATTCTTAGTGCTACTTAACAAACAAATAAGTTACATCCCCAATGTCACCCAGTTTCTGAGTGGGAGAGGCCAGATCTGAATCCAGGTTTCTCTGAGTCCAAAGCAGGGGTGTTTCTCCCTTACCATTCTCAGAGGGACCGTTCTTTAATGGCAACACCCCTGTCATGCACTGGAACATTAGTGACAATATTTGCCAGGGGATGTGGACAGCCGCAACTCCTGTTTGAAACATTTTAACTTCTGGTGCGGCTCTGCCCTGCTGCCAAATCAGATGGTGGAGAAAAGAAGGTCAGAATTGTAGCCACATGGACACGTGCTCAATGTTTTCACAGTTTCATACTGGGATGGATTAAACACGATGTTATCTAGGTGCCTTTTATTAATACACTGCTGCTCCAGTTAAGGAACTGCAAGCCTATTTTCATGGGGGAGAAAGCTGTACATGTTGATAAGAAGAAGTGGTAATTTTTTTTTTTTTTGTGGAAATACCCGATTTAGTGTTCTTATAAGACTCCTTAGGCTCTTCCCCTAGTCAAGTTCCAGGATGTGGATGGAGCAGGACCCCCTCAGAGCAGCACAGTGGAGAGGCCATCCGTGGCTCCAGCTCTCCTCCTTGCACACAGGGTCTGACGCGCTAAAACTCCCAAGGACAACATTGCCCGGGAATTTCTACCCTCAACCAATAACTCCCAGAAATTCCACTGTGCACCTCTGCAGTGGCTGGGAGCAGGGGACCTTCACGGTGGCATCCAGAACTGCTGGCAGTGCACCCGGGAGACCTGGGGTGTTTGTAGAAAACCCGGGTCCCCCTTTCTTTAGCTCTGTGTGATTGTGGGCGGGTTTCTCAGCATCACTGAGCCCCTTTTTCCTAATCAGACAGATGGGAATAACACTCCTTCCCCTCCAGCTCCCCAGATGCACAGGGGTTAGAGTACGGCGGAGGGAAGGGCTGGGCTGTGGGCATGCTTGCTCCAGACTGCAGTTACGACTGGTGGGGCATTTCAGTGCTGCTGTTTTGAGAACACTTATCTTCCAGCTCTGCTCTACACGTTCCTACCAAATCCCCCAGGCCTTCAGGTGAGCCTGGATGTTACCCAGGGCAGAGGTTCAAATGACAACACACCTCCTCCTCCTCCTCGCGGTGGTACTCAGCAACGAGGTTAAAGGGCACGGTGTACAGGGTGCTGGACATTACACCAAACAGGGAGCACAGGACCAGGGTAGAGTAGACATTCGGGAAGAGCCCGATAAATCCTGTCCCCAGGCCAAACAGCAAATATCCCATGAAGTAAAGACCCTTTAACCCAATGTAGGATCCCAGTGCTTTCTGTAAGTCTGTGGGGAGAAGAGAGGGAGATATTAGAGCCAGCAGTGCCTCACAACATTTAATAATTTCAGACAATCCTTTCTTTTGAAGAGTCACTTTTTTCAGAGATTTCCTTTGATACTGAGTCAGGAACAAAAGAACCTTCTTATCAGTGGATTGAAAACAGCTGGCTTTTGGAATCCTTTGCGTAAAGAACAGCTTAAAATTGCCCTGCTAGGCTGATTTTCTTTTCTACCAAGAAGGACTTGGCACTGTTTAGCAGACAGCTGGGGAGCAAAAAGACACAGAAGAGGTGGTAGAAAAGCCCACCTGGGCTATGGGACCCTGAGGCTGCAAGACATGGGAGAAAAGTGGGGGCTATTCTAACCTAGAGGGTTCTGGCCCAACAGGACCAAAGTAATTACACAGGCCTATCGTGGCCCTACCACCCAAAGTCAGGTTGTGGAAAATGAAAACAACCAGATCTTGTGGAATGGTCCAAGTCATTCACGGTTTCTCAGCCCCCATCAGAATGTAGTGCACACTTTTAAGAAGGAGATAGAGGATATGCAATCATCTAAAGACACTTTCCCTGACTTGCCGACCCTTCCCGGTCTGGTAAGGGGTCCCCACAGCACGTGGCCCCTCCCCACCTGGTTCCCTCAGTCTTGGTGAATAAGCTCCTTAACTTCTCCCCACCTCAGCTTCCTCATCTGAAAACTGATAAATGATAAACTGAAAAATGATAAAATTCTCCTTTGGGGTTGTTGTCAGGACCAAATGAGATGAAGTGCCTGTGAAATCACCCAGCCCAAAGCCTAGCACATAGAAGACATCCAAATGACGTGGCTATTGCTGTTTCAGCAAATACAGGCTGGGCTGAAGACAGCTGGCTCGTCCCCTCCCAGCAGGTAAACTTGGCTTGATTATGCAAGTATAGTGGTAGAGCTAATTTTTAAAACATGAAAATTCCACTTTAAAACATTTTACAATCTTTTCCACAATGGTAAGGAAAATTCCTTAAAATCTTTCATCTTCCTTTTAAATCAGTTGTTTTTAATCTATACATTTCTTATCTCTCCTCTGCCCCATTCTACTGGAACACGTGTACTGGGGGAATAAATGATAGATACTTGAAAGATGCCTATCCAAGAATGAAACTTTCCATATCTCTATTCAAATAATTATTGGTCTTATACCTTGTAGACAAGCAACCTACTACGTAGTACATTTGAATCAATTATGAAATTAACACTGTCTCAGATCATCTGATGGAAGACAAAGCTCTGGAAATGACAAGCGGGCAACATTGCTTCCTCTATTAAATTTACCCCATGCCTGGAGGGCCGCTGTTGAGGTTGAGAATGAAAGCAGCATAAAGCTACGTCAGTTCCTGTTTGCAGACAATGTAATCTAAGGTGTCTCGGTACTTAACCGATACACTCGATACTCCTTAGGGAAATGCTCTTATCCAAGTGTGTAGGCTGCTGAGAAGGCAAAGAAGGACAAAGAGGTATTTGGAAACATAAGAAACTTTAGTACAAAGACTGAATGACAAAGAGTGCTTTATTCATGAAGAGCAATCAATACATTTTAGAGCCGGGCTTGCCTTGCCCTCTGATGGGTCTGATGCCCAGTGGTGGTCACGTCCTCACCCAGTGTTTCTTTTCAGGACTGGAGGGAGATGACAGCTATGACACGAACAATTGGCTGTGTCTCCGTACTCAGTATCGCTATTCGCATGGGCATGCGTGGGCCTGCTATGGAGAAGGAGCTTGGGAACAAGCCCCTGTGACCATCCTCCACCCCAGCAGCCAGATCGTCCTGCCAAGCTCCAAGTGGATAGAAACTTGGGATCTGCACCTGCTGCTGTGTGATGAGCCCAAAATAGACGGTAATATAGTGAGCTCTGGAAGTGAAGGAAATGATCGATTCTGCCTAGGGTGGGTTAGGGCGCAGGGGGAAAACTCGAATGATTTCACTGCAGAAGTAAAATTATGCTGGGTCTAAGAGTATGACTAGGAGTTGTCTAGGTGGGAAAGTAGAAAGAGATAGAAGAAGAAACTAAAAACAGTAGCAAATACACAGAGATGAGAAAGTCTGTAGTGGTCATCAGGGGTATTTAATTGGTGTGGGAGTGAGAGACGTCAAAGTGTGAACTAGGCCAAGCTGTGAAAAGCCTTGAACACCAAGCTCAGGACTTTGACTTTATCCTGGGGACGTGGAGAGTGCCTGAAGGTCCTGGAGCAGGATGGGTTGGTATTTTATAAATAAAATTGTGGTTCAAATTCACAATGGTAGAGATCCTGTAGATTTACATATTAATATAATTTTGGAAAACTATTTAAATAATAGTTTATTTTATACACAGAGTTTTGAACCGGAAAGGGCCCAAAAATAACATGCTTTTTAATTTTGAAATGCCATGAAATTCATGCAGGAACACTAGCTAGACTAATAGAACGGTACATAGTAGGGGTTTTTTGATGAAAAAAAATTAAAATTGACACAAAATTAAAATACTAATTATGTGTGGAACAACGTATTCCTGTCACAAGAATGAGGATAGTACTAAACTGACCCCTCACCCGTTAAAATCACAGACGAATGGAGACAGGTAATTTATTAGACCCTTCTAGTCTAACATTCTTTGATTCTACTTTAAGTGCTTGAAATCATCCTCCTGGAATTTTCCTAGCTCACACACTCTTGAGGGGAAGAAAAGAGTTTGCTAAAGAAATGTAAGCTTTGAGCTACTACTTGATTACCATAAATTTTAGAATAATGAATTTTATGGTTATGATTTTGGGACTCAAGGACTCCTTATATGCTTAGGTTCTCTTTTTCCAACTGTGCTAAATTTTTAAGAGATCTTGAAGCAGGTTTCCTGCTGTGCTATGGGTAGGTGAAGGGTAGGACGGGGGCCCTTGTATAAATTCACCCTTTTCTCCCATGGGAAGCGCAATCCAGGGACAGAGTGCCTGCCCCCAAGAGTAGTAACATGGCATCTCCCGGACCCGGGCCATGTCCCTGCTGTCCCTGGGCCTATCTAAGGCCCAGAGCCCTGAGTTGGGGGTCAGCTCTTCCTCACAACCCTGGATGAACAGAGCTCATTATAATTGGGAGCCAAAGTTCCACTATAAGTAGGGGAATTGTATACATTTTTCAGGCCAGACTTTTCACTTAATTAATGTCCACGGAGCTTGGAGTTTCCATACACATTAGCAAAGGAAGCACAACAGGAGCCTGTGTGATTCTCTGGAGTTGTAGCACATCAGCTTGGGCTTATTTAAAATCAGTGGCAGAAATCCCTTTGTTCAGTGTCCTCACAGCTGAGACTTAGGTACGTGGGGTGTTAAGCAGCTTAAGACCCCATGGAAAGCTGGCACCTGAGAAGAAAAACTACCTGTTCTCAATCTTGGGACAGTGTTCCTGTAACATACCACCCTGCATATCTGAGCTAGGGTCATTTTACATGGTCATTTTGTCACCTATCATGTAATTAATCATTCTTCTTATTTTGTGTCATCTACAAATCTGATAAGCATATCTGTGAAATACCACCGGTGATCTTGCTCCAATAGAACATGGACCTGCTGGGATTCCATTCCTCATTTACCCAACACTTCATCTTATTTACAAGATTCCCTTTTATTTTCCAGAGAACCTTGATCAGGAACCCACTGATTCCAAGAACAAAAAAGAAAAAATCCACTTAGGAAAATGGCACTTAGAATTCACTATGAAAAAGGATACTTCATGGAGTCCTTTCTAAAGGAATAGTTTTTCCTGACCTCCAGATATTTATCAAGAATCTGGCATTTTAAAAAGCAGAAAATATAAATAAATATAGAAATATCCAATCCAAGTTCTGCTATTCCAGAGCCCTTTAGAAGACACCCTTAGGAGAGGGAGACTTACAAGAATAAAATGAGGAGAACATGGCGTTGATGCACAAGCCCCAGCATCCAACCTCAACCCCTCGTTCGTATGTGAGGAACTCGGTGGAGTTGTGTGCGCCGTAAGGATCCCCATGGTACACAATCTGAAAGAGAGGTTTGGGGTTGTTAGGGTAGAAATGCAGTGTGGTAGGGATGCCTTCTTGTGCACTCTGCTTCTCCACCCTTGGGGAGCAAATGTCCCTGCCTGAAGGGCCCTTCCTAGGCCACAGAACTCATTCTGTCATGACCAAGCCACCCCTTCCATCCTATCACACCTCCATTCGGGGACCTGCAGGAAGTCTAATGCCTGCTGCTTCAGGTCCAAACAACACAACTCTCCCCTGGATCCTTAACACCCCTCCTTCCACCTAACATCTGGCCCCACTTCACTTAGGCAACCCTGCCACCCATCTTCTGGTATAGCCAACTGGCTTCTGACTCATCTCCACACATACCATTCTTATTTCTGCTTGGAATGGTTTCTCTCTCTCCTGTATATCTCAAACTCCTACTCATCCTTCAAGGCCCAGACCATACTGTGGCTCCTTTCTTTGAAGCCTTCCCTGATCATGATAACTCATGCTGATTTTTTCCTATTTGTTGTATTAGGTCAAGAGCAGGAGACCCCATAGTGTCCTCTAGTTATCCAGGGTGTAGTAGCATGCTTCTAGAACCTGTCTAAAAGCCAGTTTCTTGACAGTACTCTTTCCCATATGCTAACTGTGTCCATCCTAGAAATTAGCCTAAAAGAAGCTCAACAGGTGCTGATGGAGAGGTTGAAGTGTGAGTCAGTGAGTGTGTACACAGACAGTTCATCACCTGGCCCATAAAATCTGTGAAGAAGAGCATGGTGGACAGGAAGGCGGTCCATCCAATGAGGTGGCTGATGCAAAGGTAGCGGTAGTGGGGAGGCATGCTCACCAGTGCCCTCAGCAGTGACTTCAGGGTCATCGCCCTACGGGTCTGGAGTAAAACATGAAACAGTGGTGTGACCTTCAATGTAGATACTCTGCCAACTCTGGCAGCCACAGCCACAGCCATGTTACATATCTCTCAGGCAGCTGTCTTTTCCCAGGCATAGCTCTAGGTTTCCATGGAGTAGACTCATGGGAGATATTCCGTTAAGGTATGATGTGGCCCGACTTCAGACCGAGGAATGAACACAGAGACATAAAGACGCAGACACATGGCTGCAGCCCGTACAAAAAGACACAGACACCACAAGACAGTATGAGGCTGCAGCGAAAAGCTTTCGCTGAAGCTGTTTATTTATAATACAGGTTGTTTGGCAACTGTCCCACTGCAAGTTCTTTGTTCCCACACC